GTGCACATGTTTACAAACGCCATTGATTGGAATGAAAATAGACGCGCTGAATTTCGTTTGTTTTATGAAAGATAGTATTTATCGAACATTTATCTATATAAAAACATGATTAATATTGTAGAAATTGTATTTCTAAAGATTCCTATATAATTCATATTTCATTTAGTAGACAATAAATATTCAGTAAGATACTAAAAACGATTATTAATTCTGAAATGTGCATCAAATCTCAGCTATTATTATTCAGTATGTATTAGGTTAAAGTCTTAAAACAATAATTTCGAAGTAGGCCTAGTAAACAAATAATTTTAATTAAAGTTTAGGTTCCCATGACGTCAGATGACGTATTCAATATGATGCTATATTTTGGAATCTGACTTAATTTAACGATGGCCCTGTCAGTTGTAGTAATGACAATAATTGTGATTTTTTAGCCATGTAGTAAAAATAGTACAAGATGAGAGTCAAGAAGAAGTTCAGCTTCTACTTTATTTTGTAACAGGCAACTCTATTTTTTTACATAGGCCTACAGGAAGATTCATTATTTTAAGTTAATACAAGACAAAACTTCTTAAATGTTTTATATATTATAATAATAAGTACATAATTCTTTGTAAATTACTTTGTAGGCCTATAAATAGTTTGTTTTGTTTTATAATAATAAATGTGTTGAGTATATTGATATTGGTTGTGCGATGAGGTTTTTTTTTGTCTTTCCGTGTGATTAAAACATGCCAATTATCAGGAAATATTTTCCAATTTTATTATATTACCACCTTTTATTACATAGATCTTTTTCAAAACATAACTGCTTTTATAACATTATATAGACCCATTAAACACAAAAACTGCTCTGGCTTCGGGGGCTTCGCCCCCGACCCCACCGGAGTCCTTAGGCAATCCTCTGGACCCCACGCCAAGAGAACCCCCCCTTGAAATGACCTGGCTACGGGCCTGTAATACTACTACTAATAATAATAATTGTAAACAGTAATTTTTTTAATAGCAATAATACTATTGATTATAACGATTATGAATAATGATGAGGACGGTGACGGCAATGTTGATACCATTAAGAATTAATTATAATAATTATGATCATAATGATAAAGACGGTGATGGTAATTTTGATAGCAATAATAATGGATTCTAATGATTATGATTATAATGAAGAAGACGGTGACGGTAATTTTGATAACAATAATAATTGATTCTAATGGTTATGATTATAATGATGAAGACGGTGGCTGTGAAGGTGGCGACCACGACTGTGGTAGTGACGGCAGTGGCGAAGGCTACAACGACTGAGAAAAAATAAGACACAAAGAACAAATACGGGATGGAGAAAGAATAAAAGAAATGAATAAAGAGATTTAATAAAGACATAAAAAGAATTATAATGAATAGACTAAGAAAAACAGAGAGAAGTGTTGAATAATTTACTGTAAATAATAATAATAATAATACAGTAATAATAAATAAATAAATAAATACCTTCATTTAGCTGCAAGTGTAGTATAATATCGAATTTCATTCATGTAATAATAATAATATCAATACATTAATAATAATAATAATAATAATAATAATATAAATAATAATAATAATTATAAATGATAATAATAATAAATTAAGAAAATAATAGTATATAATAATAATAATAATAATAATAATATTTTTTGGTGGAAAGATTCATTGATTTATATATTGACTGATTGAGAAATGGATAGTCAGTGGATGGCTTAATGAATAAAGAAGATTTGATGGCTGATTGATTGATTGATTGATTGATTTATTAAATATATTTATTAATAAATGGATGTTTCAAATTTCAGAAGCACTTGCTGGACATGAGAGCATGAGTCCAAGGTTAGTTAAAAAAACAACTGTCAATATTGCATTTAAAAGATTTGTATAATGGACCTTTCCGATAATTGACCTTTCCGATAATTGACCTTTCCGATAAGCCCCGCCCTGGGATATCGTTGCTAAGGTCCTACAAAACGGCAGTATTAAAGCATACCGTAAAACCTCGAATTGAAGCAATGGCTTTTAAATGGGCATCTTTTCAAAATGGGCTTCTTTTCGAGGCTACTTTTGCAAAGTAAAGAGGGCGGGGCTTCTTTTCAAAATTTTATGAATTTGTACTATAAACAATAAATACGGCCACTGTAACATCGATCTGTATCATGGAATGTATTTAACTGACATTAAATCACCTAAACTACTGTATCAACTAAGTTTGTTTTTAATTTTTTTTTTTTTTTTTTTTTTTAAATTCATGTACAATGTATATAATCTCGAAAAGAGGCGAGAAGGGCTTCTCTTCGAGGCTAATTCGAGATGGGCTTCATCTTGAGATTAAGCCCACTGGGCTTTAATTCGAGGTTTTAAGGTACGCAAACACGCGCGCTTGTGATACAACATGTGTGCTTGCTAGACACGTGCGTATTCTTCCTGGCTCTGTTCTGATTGGTCACTTGTTAAGTTTGATTGACACTCCGAAAACGACCATTACGTAGATATATAAATGAATGATAAACAGATAAATGCATATGAATAGATATATTCGACAGTTGATGATAAAACATTGATGTATAATTGAATTTATTACCTAGGCATATTTAAAAAAACATAATATATTTTAAAAGACAACACCTAAATATTTTTAATTCCTTTTGGCAATTTAGCTATGGGATTCCGAAGAAGATTACAAAAAAGGTAACAATAACGTTTTATATAAATCTTTATACATTAGGCCTAATGCATACAATTTTTTTAAAAACCCAATATTTTATATATTGAATATTGAGTCTAATATGTTCTGCAAGTTCAAATCAATGTGGTCGTAACCACTTTTACAGTACATGTTATAAACATAAGGAAAGTTTCGCCCCACTCGTTCTTCCAAGTTTATTCACTCTCACTGCCTTTCTAATCATTATTGCCGGACGTCCACATATTCCCCACAGCATTGTTGTTTTTCAGTATTTTGCCTTTTATATACTGCATTTATTCGAATAAACACCACGGAGCGTTTAATGTTGAGAATAGTTTTGAGAGGGAGTTTATTCGAGAGAAGCGTGTTGTGTGTGTGTGTGTGGGGGGGGGGTTCTGGGTGAGTGAGGGTGTGTGTGTAAAAAGGATACGTATCTACTCAAATAAACGCCGGTTAATTTCACTGTAACTGTCGAACTACAACACAAATTACCGTCAAAATGTGTTACTGCGTGATCGTAAGTACTTATTGATCCTAACGTAGTTAGGAAAAATTTAATTCCACTGGAGTAGAACATTAATGCATTTTTACTACCATAAATCCTCGAATAAGCGTCTCTCTCAAATATCCAAACGTGATTTTTTTTTTCTCGTTAAGCTCCGCTCTCGAATAAAATATTACCCTGTGTATAATGAAACACTTTGAGGACACAGAGTTTTAAATGTATACAGTGTTCAAATGAAGAAATAAAACAATGAAGACA